AATGAATTATTGAACTGCAATGGATGATGGGAGTTACTGAATTTGTAGGTAGCAGATAAGAAATGGGGGGCTTGAGGACTATCAAATTTTATAGGTGGTACCTTGAGGGAACAGAGGGAACCTCCAATTTGAAGCCTTTAAGCAGTACAGAAGTGAAGACATGTGGAGGTCCCCTAGTTTGACACTGGTATCTGAAGTTTGGGACAGACTGAATAGTCTAGATTTCTAAGGCCTTCAATTTGGTGAGATCTGACCTGGTAGTTAGTGCTAGAAGTTGTACTACATTTCCAGTTTGTGTCAGAGAGAAGATTTAGGGCTTATTGATGTGTGCGGAAGAAGACAGCCAGCATGCCTTTGTAAATTGTGCCTCTATTGTGCTCTCTGAAGTTGCTTCATTTGAACTTGTCATCTCATCTACTAGGGTCCTGACCACTAATTTATTCATTTGCAGAATGGGAAGGCTGACTAAGGGACTGAAGTTTCTGATGAATCTGAAAAAAAATTCATTCACTTTTTAAACCAATGTCAAGACAAAACTTGCCACAATTCTGAGTTGTGTAAAGATGTACCTACTGTCTTATTTAAGGAGCTCTGGTAGCATAGTGGTTACGAATCGGGCTGCGAACCTTAAGGTCAGTGGTTCGAAACTACCAGCCACTCCACGGGAGAAAGATGAGGCTTTCTACTCCTGTAAAGATTTACACCCTTGGAAACCCTGTACAGGGTCGCTATGGGTCGGAACCGGCTCCACGGCACTTAACAACAACAACAACAACTGTCTTATTTGCAGTTCAGTGTTCCTGTGTAGCTTTTTAAAGACATTTCAAGAGAATGTCCTTAGTCTTAGTACATATTTTGTTGTTAAGTGCCAAGTACATATATTAGAATTTAAATAAAGGACATTCTGCAGGCATCCTCCTGGTGTGGAGCTGTGGATTAATGCGCTGGACTGAAAAGTAGGTTTGAACCGCAAGGTTGGCAATTTGAGCTCACTAGCTGCTCTTCGGAAACCCTATACAGGGTCATTGTGAATGGGAACAGACTGGAAGGCACTTCACAACAACAACACTAAACCAAATGCTACTTCCTTCCTCACCCCCAGCTGTCCTGTGTAGACAAAGACCAACCCCAAACAAACCCATATGGAAGGAAATAGAACCATATGGAGCATTGAATTGACTCTCAAATCTTCGACACATTTCTGTGGTGAACTTCAAACTGTTGCCTAGTGTTGTAAAATAGACCTACATATGTGATGGAAGCATTGTAGGATAAGCACTAGTGTAGTAACTTGAAGGTCCAAGGTTTAATCCTTTCAGTGGTTTCCATGGGAGAAAGATGAGGTTGGCTGCTTCTGTTAAGATTTAGCCTCAGAAACCCTATATGGGATCGCCAAGAGTTGGAATGGTGTCCTGGTGTTGCACTGCAGGATAATGCACTGGACCATAAGGTCGGTTTGAACTGGAAGGTTGATGATTCAACCCTACCAGCCTCTCCTCAGAAACCCTATCCAGGGTTGCTAGAGTTAGAACTGACACTTAGCATCAACAGCAAGAGTCCCAGTAGACTGGATGGCAGTGGGTCTTACAGCTACAGAAAGTTTATAAGCTGGCCTTCATCCTATTCTTTATTGGATATGCTAAAAGGGTAGTTAAAATTGCCCTGCAGGAACAGACTTTATCATAAACCAGGAGCTGGAATACAGAGTTGGGACCTTAGGTAAGAAACTTGAGCCTCACCTGGAACCATCAGTCAGGAAATTTGCATTTGAAAACAACATTTAGACCCACCCAGAACTGCCTGAGAACATATGTACATTTGAAGGGGGAAAAAAAAAAAGACCTTTTTGTCTTCTGAATTCCCAGCCAGTGATTTGGCAGGAAAAATCTGTGTCCATCAGAGAAAACCTTCTATACAGGGTTATTAGGAATCAGAACTGACTCAAAAGCACTAGCAACAATAGGACTGAAAGTTAAAGAGAGCCAGGGAGTAGACAGCCTGGTATGCTCCTTTGTAATTACCTGAGTCCACTTGTTGAGTGGAAGAGGGGGGTAAATGCAGCAATGAAGAGATGGTTTGAGAGAGAGAAAGAAGGGCTGGCTGGTCTGAAGTTTAGGGATTTGTGTAAATTCCCGAGTCTCAGGCACCAACCTAACATAAGGGGTCTAGGGATGAGAGAGTAAAGAGTCTGGAGATCAGGGTGGTGTGTGTGGACTCCCAAGCTTGCAGCTGGTACCCATTTGGCCTAGCTGAATTGGCCAGAAACCAACAGAATGAAGAAAGATGCTTGACACTGAGCTGGTGTAAGTTGCTGCAATTCAGTAGTTTGCCCTGGACTGCAGATGCTCAAAGTTCCAACTGGAATGGGAGATTCTTCAGATCAAGGAACATGTTTATTTCCTCAGAGTACTTGTTTGGTTAATAGATTTAGGAACTGGATATCAAAAATGGGGGATGGGGGGGTGGGAAGTGGGCACATAAACACATGGAGTGTCTAGCATACAAGTTTTCATAGAGGTACTTACAGGAAAATGATTGAAGGAGGGGAAGTTAATCCTTTCATGTATGAAAGGCACAGTGGCCAGAAGACTGGCTGGGACCCTGCAGATTTGCTATATTTCCTCTTTTTCTGATGGATCTGGGTAAGAGAAGGTGGAAAGATGCTGAATGGGTTATATGATTCCCTTGTGAGTGATTGTTAACAGGGTTAATTGTGATTGTAGAAACTTAGATATCTAATGAGGGGTTTGGTCAATTTTGCCATCCTGCTGGGTGTAAAATGAGCCATCTCAGAAGCAGGAAGGGTCAGATTCTTACGACCATCAGGAAAGCAGAGTCAGGAATGCTGTGCATTCTTACCATGCATATTAAACCTTTTTAATCCAGGGATGGAAAACTGTGACACCAGAGGATCAGCAGAGTAATAGCAGAACCAAGAATTAGAACATGATGTACAGCTGTGGGCTTCCAGGCCCCCAGAGTGAGTAAATCTTAGTACCTTTGGGCAGTAGGCTCACCTGTAGAATGGGGTGCCTCCAGACACTTAATTGGGAGAGCTAAAGCTCAGCACCTTTGGGCTGAGACTCAAGGCATATATCAGCAGTCAAAAAGAACTTTGTAATATTGCCCTAGCAAGACAGAGGCCAAGGGGCCACATGGCTGAGAGAGGCTTGGCTGGAAAGAAGACTGTCCTGATTGAAGAACTGTGTCTTGAGTGTCTCAGTGTTTTCTGTGACCATCATAATGAATTATTGAATCCAGCTGAGAAGTTGAGCAGTCTGTGGGAAGCATGGTTGGTGTCAATTGGTGAAGAAGGTTGGAGGCATGTCTAACCTCAGCGTCATGGGATTCAGTCTTTGGCTGATGTGTGGAATTTGATTCTCCTTCTACCATGTGAAGTCCTACCCCCTAAGCCATTTTTACACTTGGGATGCGTTGTCTTAAGATCAAAGACACTTAGGGTTAGGTTGGACCTTAAAAGTCATCAGTTCCCTCCCCAATCATATAGACCAATGCTGGGTATAGATGCTTATCCAACTCTTCTAATCTCTGTTTAAACAGCTGCAAGGACCGGTAATAGGAAATGAGTAGATTTAAGGTAGTCTGTTTGATTTTGGCTCAATTTAGGACATTGTTTCTGACAAAATGTTTGTAAAAAAAAATGAAAAAGGGAAGAAGACAAAATAGAAACCATTGAGGTTTGTGACCCTGCCATGGGTCTCAAGGGTCTTAAGTTCCTTACACTCTAACAGGATC